CTCGCGCTTACTATATTAATATATAACTTACGTTAATATACTACTATAAGCTCGCTACGATAGCGAGCGATAGTAAGGGAGTACCGTAATTAAAAAATAACTTACTTAAATAAAATACGCGCGGATAAAGTAATATATAGGTTATATATAAAACCGAGAGCGATAGGGAATTAAAAAGAAGCGTATCGGATTAGCTCTAAATATACCTCTATAGAAGAAAAGAGAAGAAGGAGAGAGCTACTACGAAAGAATAGGAGATTTTTCTCTTATAGTATAAGAGCTTAAGTATAGGGAGGAGCGTTACCGGGTACTAACCTAGTAAAGCTACGAGAAGGTTCGCGTACGATAATAATAATATAAAACGAAGTAATGGAAGCCCTCGTAAGCGCATAACGAATACGGTAAATATACTTAATTAAGAGCTACGATATATCTCTTTTATTAGGATATTAAAAAAAGCTAATATAATAATTAATTAAGGGGATACTTTAAGCTATTAAAAGTATTAAATGGAGACGTAAGTAACCAAAGCGACGAATATATTACCCCAGAAAACTAATAAAGCGAATAAAGCTCGAGCTAACCTAAGACTTTAATTAAAAGGATAGCTAAGCTAACTATCGCGAGCCCTTCGGCTAAGTTATTATTATTATTTAGCTAAGCTCGCTATCGCGAGCCTAGCTAAGGGGTATATTATATAAAGAGCTACTTATATATAGCTCCTTATTCTTTCTCGAGTTACTCGCTTACCTAACATAGCTCCTAGCTCGCTTATATAACATAGCTCGTAGCTCCCTATCGTTTATATATAGGTAGCTCGTATCTCCTTTATTAATCTCCTTCCTTCTTAGATAGTTAGTTAATTTACCTTCTTCTTCCTACCTTCCGTTACTCCTAAGAAGCAACCTCAGTACCTACGTAGCTCTCCTAATCTACGTGTCACTATATTTATTATTTAGTTTATTACTTAGCTAGATTATTATCTTTATTATTTTTACTTTAATTAAAGATTCGTTTTTACCATTAGATTCGTCGTTCTCCGATTAATATATCTATTTTAATTATAGGCGCTTAAGTTACTTCGTCGTACCGTTATAGCCGAATAAGTAACTTTTACGTTTTACCTCTTTTCTTTCCTTACCTCTTATACCTTCGGGTTAGCGACTATTATATCTCTACGACTAAGGGGTATAGTTAAGATACGATAACTATATTAGATTCCTTATCTCTCGATTAATATAGCGACATTAATTTTATTTATCCTGGACTATCGTACGTACTATAGTCTTCGATAGAGTATACTTTCGAGTAAACCTATCCGGGTCTCTAGTATCGCGTACGCTCTACTCCTCCTTACTACGGAGCTCCATTTCGTTCGTATATTAAGGAGGAGCAGAGCGTACGCGATACTAGAGACCCGGATAGGTTTACTCGAAAGTATACTCTATCGAAGACTATAGTACGTACGATGGTCCAGGATGAATAAATCTAGTGTCGCTATACTAATCGAAAGGCAAGGAATTTAATATAGTTATCGTATCTTAGCTATGTCCCTTGGTCGTAGAGATATAGTAGTTGCTAGCCCGAAGGTATAAGAGGTAAGGAAAGAAAAGAAGTAAAACGTAAAAGTTACCTATTCGGTTATAACGGTACGACGAAGTAACTTAAGCGCTTATAACTAAAATAAATATATTAATCGGAAAACGGCGAATCTAATGGTAAAAACGAATCTTTAATTAAGGTAAAAATAGCAAAGATAGTAATCTAGCTATGTAATGAACTAGATGATAAGCATAGCATATCCCGTACTTACGGGAGCTATGGTTATTCTATATAGGCATAAGGCCTATCGTAGCATGTCACGTAATGCATCAAGAGGGCATGTCTTACCGCACCACTACAATATTAAAGTCCTCCTAACGAGATTTTAAAGCTATCGAATCCTATTAGGGTTCTTAACTTTAAGCGTTAGTTAATAGGAAGGCGTAATTACTTAACTTTAGCGGCGTTAATTAGGAATACCTCGCTACCGGTATCTAAAAGAACTCGCAAGGGATATTCCTTTCTTTAATGTTTTATTTATATTATATAGATAGGTCGTTTACCCGATCTCGGTTCGCTTAAGTTACGCTAGGGGACTCGTGGTTTTTTCGCTGTTAGTATTACTTTCGTTACTTCCGGCGTTTTAGGCCGCTTTATAGCTATAATCTTTACGTTATCTTTACCGCTCCTTCCTCCCGTTAACGCTTACGGGAAAGCATTTAAAAATCCCGTTCCTCGTCGGAATCGAATAATTCTATAATATAAGAAAGGATTTCCTTCTATCGTATAATAGTATCGATTCTAATTCTTTTATTAAGTAACGGTTCGGGTTCCTCCCTTCCTCTTTTTCCTAACGAGACTTTCTTAGGTAACGCGGATAAGTTCCGTCCTTTTAAGTCCTTTTTAACGAAGTAAGCTAAGGTTTAATAATTATCCCTTCTATATCGCTAATAAGCTTTCTTATCCTTCTTTCGTTAATCGATTACGGCTTAGTTAATTCTGGTTAAAGCTTCTTTATTACTTATCTACCGTAAGTCCTTAACCGGTACGGGTTTCTTATTATTCTTACTTTTACGTTCGTTTACCGGTTAACTTAAGCGGGAGCGAGTTTTTTTTACGGGTTACTTTTATTACTAGTCCGCTTTCGTATACTCCTTCTACGAAGCGGACCCTCCTTTTCCTGAAATTCCTAGGTTAGTTATTATATTTTCATAGATTTAACCGGCTTTTTTAATTACTCCAAGGAAGGCTTTATCGCTTTCGGGGATATTACTTAGTCGTAAATAAACTAACTTAGTTATTTTATTAGGTAAGGTACGGATAATATAGTTTTAAAAGGTAGTTCCCGATTATTAGACGACGTCGTTAAGATCTATAAGTTCGGTAAGGTATTAGGAGATATCTCCCTAATACTTTAGTTCCTATATTTTTTTAGAATTACGATATCGTTCGACGGGATCCTTAAATCGTTCCTAGAGGGCTTAGGAATATCCTACCTAAATATCGACGACTATTAACCTTTTTACCTAGGTTAACCTTTATTAATATTAGAGCTAGACCTTTTCGGTAAATATCGATTTTATTTAATTAATTTTCTAGACGTCCCGGGTAAAGCTTTCTTTATAAGTTTCGAAATAAGATTTAACTTTAATTTATTAAAGGCGGAACTTAGCTAGGTCCTTATTATTATAAGCCGTAGGTTTAATAAGATATACCGGATTAATCGTTACCGTAATACTTCGCCGATTATTTATAACTTTAGTTTAGGCCCGAACTATACGTTCTTCGGCTAGGTTAAGGGGCTCTTAAGGTTCTTTAGGAGTACCTGGAAAACGTCGTAGCCTTTATAAGTCCCCGGACTCTAAGCCGTCCGAGTTATCGGAATTCCTTAAATCTCTTAAGGTATTTCGCGGGATCTTTAGCGGTAGTAGTAGTCTTAATCCGGCCCCTCTTAATATAAAGGTACCTATAGCTACGTTTTAAAAACGGGCCCGCGCGCGTATAGCGGTACGTTTAACCGCGGTATCCTATAATACGCCGTTAGAAATAATCTCCCTTATTTTAGCCTCGTTATTAATATATCTTTCCGTTAACGCCGTCGTAAAGCGAATAATTAATACGGGAGTAAGGGTCCTAATCCTTTAGCTAGCTCTAGCGATAATAAATTCGATATTCGTTAGCTTATTATTTAATCGTCGTTATTAATATTCCTTAATTAGATTAATTACGTAAGCCTTAAGATTATCTTTAATTAATTAAGTCTTTTCTTTTATAACCCCGGGAGTAAGGTATTCCTTACTAAGGATCTTACTAATCTATTTATCCTTCTACGTAGCCTATAAGCTAACGTCCGTTACTAATTTATTATATTTTTCGTGTAATTAAACTAAGGCTTATTAATTCTAAAGGGCGGCGTTTCGGAATTAATTTACGGTAGCGGTCCGTACTTTATTCTATCGGGCAAACTTAATTATTATTTTCTATACGTTCTAAGCGAAATAAGTATTTTATTCTACGACCTACTTCTAGAACTTATAGATCTATATCTTCGTAGTCCTTATACTAATAACCTATATAACCGTAGCGGTCTAGTAAAGCTATCGTAATTATTCGTATTATTCCTTTAGGATCGTATTTTATCGATATCCTATATCGACTTAGTTAGCTAATATCGCCAGGCTTTAGTATGCTTATCCCATTTACTCGTATAAGTTTACGATCTACTACGGAAGATCTCGTATAACTACTCCTAAGTTCGTGATTTCCGGAGCATTAGCTATAATTACTTCGTATATTTAAGGTTAATATATTACGAGGAATTTATCGGTCGGTTCGGGGGTTACTTCTAGCTAAGGCGTCGGAAAGGTTCGCTATCGTTTAGCGTTTTTTACTTTTAACTCGGCTATCGCGGCCTTTAGTTTATTAATCGTAATTATTATCTAAGCTACCTCCGTTATAAAGATCGACGCTAGCCCCGAGGTAGCCGGTCGCGGAAATAAGAACGCCTATAGCTCCGGATCTTTAATAAAAGGTCGGGATTAATCCGGTAATAATAATACTAAGGCGGCGGCTACGGCGTACGACGTAAGCTTAGGCGTAAGCTTCTCTTATTACTAGCTTATAATAAGGTTATAAAGGTAAGAATAATATAGAATTATTTATAATAAAGGGATATACTTAAAATAGATTTAATTTAATTAATAATTTTATAGGGGATCTCTTAAGTCCTTATCCCTTCTTAGGTTTCCCGGTCTTTATTTCGTCCTAATATATTCCAGGGGTACCTCCGTACCTTAGTACCTAGGTACCCTAATACCGAAGCTATCCGGGGCTTATCTAGGACCTTCCTTAATAGGTCGCCGAGGTAACGGCCTTACTACCCGATATTGTCCTCCTAACCCGTATAACCTGATTATTGGTGCAGGGTTCCATCCCCGTGTGACATTTGGACAGCAGCTATGGGTGACGACCTGGGCTTAATCACCCGCCGCATTGAAGCCGCTTCGACAGGCAAGATATTAGACCGAGGGGGCCAGGACGAGGCCGTTCGATTTCGTAACCCTACGGACTTGCCTGAGATTATGGAGGCATGCGAGATTTTGATCGAACATCTGAAGAGCATTCGCGGATCAATATGGCTGGCGGCAACCAGGCTGCGGGTCTGGATGACGCCGTCGTGGAAGCGAGCCTGGGCCATCAAGGAGGAAGCTATCCTGACGCTTGTTGAGAGCTCTCAGAGTAGGTATGGTGAGGCTTAATCCGCCATGGATGAAGTATTTAAGCGCAGTGCATTGCTCGGGTCGAAAAGGAGAATGTCGTCGAGCCACCGCGAGATGGTCGACGAGACCTTCACATACATTGCCGGTACGTAAACACAGCAATGTCCCGATACGGATAACGAGCACCCATTGTCAACTAACGTTTGCTCTCCTCCTTACCACAGGTGGGCATGAGACGACACAGAAAACCACGAAATGGAGCATGAAGTACCTCACAGCGAACCAGGGCAAGCAGAGCAAGCTGCGCGATACGCTGCTAAAGCTCTTCCCGGGTGCGAGCTCGACCAAACTGCCGTCATACTAATAGATCATCGCGGCGGAAGACCCGTACCTCGACGCGAGCGTCCAGGAGCTGATCCGGATCGCGCTGACGGCACCGTTGTAGACGCGCCGCACGACGCAGGACGTCGTCGTGCTCGGTCACCGCATCCCCGCCGGCGTCGACGTCTTCAGCGCCCCCAGCATCCAGAGCTACGAGGACATGGACGACTTCGTCATCGACCCCGCGCTCCAGTCGCCGACCTCGAAGCAGCGCGAGACGGGTCCCTGGCGCCGTGGTACCAAGGGTCTCTACCAGCCCGAGCACTGGATCGACACCCAAGGCAATTATAATGGCTACGCAGGCCCCATGATACCCTTTGGAGCTGGTCCGCGGGGCTGCTTTGGTACGAGACAAACCCCGCCCCTCTCTCTCCCCTTGCTTCTATCGCCCATTGACGGCCAAGAAACCCACGATTCCAATAATCGTTGATGCGTATCGAAGAGCACGGAATTATGCAGTGATGGAATGCTGATATGGCAACACGTATAGGGCAGAGATTGGCGCGCATGGAGCTGCGCATCATGATAGTCATGCTGGTCCTCAGCTTCGAATTCAAACTGATCTCGGACGCCTACGCAAGCTTCAGGGCAGCGGAGATTGTCAATCGGGGGCCGCAAATCACGTACATCAGACCCGTCCTTCGTGTGTGAGGGCACATACATTCCGTTCGCCAGGCTATCCAGCACACCGCACTGCGCTTGGGGGTAGTGGAATTGGGTATACGCATGGTCTTATGAGTAGTTAGCAGACGGCTTTCATGACGACACTGATTGGTATTGAATGCCTCATCTATTATAAAAAGGGATAGCATTATGATGTTGTCACGTGGCAATTGAACCAGCCCTTATATGCCTACATACCGCAAAGCGTATCGTAGGCGTCTACGTTTTACGCGACGGATGTAGAGACTGCTATTACGGCACAGAGACGTCCCGGTGATGTTGTACACATTATTAATCACGTCGGACTTCTCTCAGCACTCTTTGCGTTCTCTCTTATAGTTGCGTAATGTGCAGGAAGGGGATGTTCACTGAATCAATCGACTTGTCCAAGTGTATTTGAAATTTGAGACACGATGATGAATCGTTGGCAGCATAAGAGAAAGACTCTATGTGGAGGTATATGTTGCGAAATTCGTGTATAATATTTCCACATGAACTTGGTTATAATGATGTGAGCGAGTGCAATACCCCTATTTAATCGGCTACAACAGGACACGCATGATTCTCCCCTATTATCCAGTTCAACCATGAAAGCTAATACATAGCATACAGGCTATCCTAATTTGAAAAGTATTATCGAATGCTACTTAGCAAGGTCCCTCTCTCATGTGCTGTTCCTCGACATCCCAATTCCTCCTCTAGCTATTATATACTAGCTCGTGATGCCCGCAACTATGACTAAGGTTGCTGCGGAGGCTTGATCTGGTAGACCCCCCTTGTTGCAAGCAACATCCACTCGAAGAAGCGCTCGGGGAGCGTCCAGTGGAAGTACTTCGCACGTCCCGCGACGACGCCGCCGTGCCAGACATGGCCGTCCCGTCCGCTCAGCACGTCGCGCACAAGGTTCTCGGCCGTGACGTCGGGCTCCTCAGCTTCCCTCTGCATGACGCCTGTACCCTGTTGGAATATCATCCTTGATCGCGATGTAGTAGGACGTCGCAGGCAGTGAAGGTGGCGCAACCGCGAGGCCGTTGGCGTAAATCTTCGTGTTCACCTCGCCGATCATCGCCGTGACCACCCGCACGCCCAGCCCTTTCATCCCGATCCGCAACGTCTCTGAGAGCCAGCGCGTGGCAGCTTTCGATGTGTTGTATACACCTGTGCCGATGTGAGATTACTGCTAACAGGAACTGGGGCTACTTTACGACAGCGCTAGATAAGGATGAACGATGAAGAAAAGCAACGGGCGAGCCTTGCCAAGCCAACCTTATCTCACCCGCAACGCTGGAGATGTTCAGGATCGTTCCCCCAGATCGGGTCAACAAAGGTGCGAAGGCCTAGGTGACAGCCAAAACGCCCCAAACATTGACTTCGAACAGCTTCTTGCTCTGGTCGATGTCCGTGTCCAGCAGCGGCATGGAAAACATGGCGCCGGCGTTGTTGACGAGCACGTCGAGCCGGCCACCCGTTCTCTTCTCTACCGCGTCGACGCACGACGTAATCGACGAGGCACTGGTCACATCTAGCGGTAGGATCTCAACATCGTCGTGGGACTCTAGTGTGGGCAGCTTTAGACGGGTTGCGAAGCGTCACGAAGACGTGGAAATTCCGTCAAGCAAAGGAGAGGGCGAGAGACGCGCCCAGACTACCCTCACTACAGCCTGTGATGAGGACTGTGGGTTTCGTGATGGCGGTCATGGCGGCTGTGAACGTTCACCTCAGTTGCGTGAGATTTGGTCGGCCAAGCGGCGATGAAGACGCTGTGGAATAGGCAGCTGGTAACGTACAGCTAATGCGTTGTACCTGTATGATCGTTAACTGGCCCTGGATCGCCGTGTACCTACGCATTGACCTGGCCGAGATGTTCAAGCTGGTGTGCGCAGAGCTGACGCCTTTTGACGGTACAGCCAACTATGGTATGGGATGGGGGTGACCACCGATGGCTCCGTGGCATGTCCGAGGTCTCCTGAGTGACTTTCATTTTGGATCGTCCCCATCCCAGTGTGTTGAACCCCCGATTTCGTTTCGACCTGCAAAGTCCTGACAGTGTTCCCAGTCTTCGCCTACTAAACCTGTCCCTTTCGGAAGGGGTACGATCCATTATTACGTACGCGGTCTTCCGATTGGTCGTGTCTTGGACTGGGCCGCTGATCTGTCGGAGTTGGCGACGGCATGGGGCCTCATCGCCTACCGGGGCAACCCCGGGTGTCTTTCCGAAATTCACCGGGGCGGAACGGGGATCGTTGCTATTCCCGAATAGCGTCGGCCTTCGCAGTTTCATGGGCGGATGCATGCCTACTGTGGGCAATGCGCTGACCCGATGCGGATGCAGCCGGCTGGCTTCTGAATGTCACACGTCGGGTATTGCACGCACGATACTCTCCCGGCGCCGACTATCCTCATGTGGATGAATGGAAGAATTACAAGTACGGCCTCTTTTACAAGGGCGCGAGAGTGTGTGAGATGGCGAGATATTAATCATAATATACTAATACTGAAGAATCACCCGATATAGTCTGCATATGCACTCCACTCCTCCTCTTCGATGAGCTCGTCCATGTCCTCTTCGTTGAAGCAGAGTAGCGCATCAATGTCTCCAGATTTCAACTGCGATATGAAGTAGATGTCACTTCTGATCGGCCCAAAGTTCGGCCGCCGTATCAACGCCGGCTTGCCTAATGGACCAAAGGTGACTCGGCATAACTGAATCCGAGCCCACGGCGAAGAACCGATGTCCGTGTCGGGGTTGAGCTTGCCGCCGTACACGATCGTAGATTTATCCGGGGTGTTAGCGATGTGCGTGGCAAAGCTTCGAATGTAATCAGGCGTATCGACGGCATTGAGATCTCTACGGAGCACGCCGGCGATGACTGAAAGCGGCGCGTCTACAAGATCTTTGAATGTCATCCTAGACGTGGCGATCGTGACGAGATCGCCCATGTACCCCGGGGGAACCCCCATCGTATTCCATGCGTCTACTGCGCGGCAAAACTTTGCCGTCGCGTGAGGCGTCTGATGTCGACGTAGACGGACGGTAGTCACACGCTGCCAGCAGAAAGCTGTCAACGCGTCGTTGGTGGAGATGTAAGAGACTGAGGGGTCGCAGCCCTCAGATGGCATCGCGCGGGCCTTCAGTTCCTTTAACTTATGTGCCGAGAAACGGAAATACCGCCAGAAGAAAGGGGAGTTTGGCCGGAGCAGTAGCGGGGGTTTCTCAGATGCAGCCGGCCTCTTGAACTGGCTGTGGTCCTTCGTAGATTCGCCTGGCCGAAGAAGTGGCACCAGGTTTCGTCAATCCATGTTCCCTTGTGCAATGATATCTGTCGAGAAAGGCTCGCCGTTCATTGCAGTTGCCAAGAGATCTCAACATTGCTCGATGCCATTCATGTCGATGAAATTGTGCTGTGCTGCGCAGTCCAAGAGCAAGCCGCCCCTGATGAAATTGGCCTGGAAGGCCAGCACGGGTGTTGGGTCATCTTCGGTCTCTTCGTAGCTCTCTGGGAATGCCTTGCGAGGACCGAGTATGCCGCCGTCAAGCATTGTACATGGTCCACGCCTTCTGACGATATCCTCGCAAGGGGGACAGAGACTCGAACAGTCTTTTACTCGAAGAACCGTGTTAGGTGGCGACCACAGAGCACAGGGCTCTAGCTCGAAGAGTCCAGAGTTACCTGGCCCACTACATCGATTAACCACCTTTGTGGCGAGCCATGGAAATGCCTCCGTAAGCTTGAGAGAAGCTGTTTGCAAGCACTTAGTAGTCTCATCCTTCGACTCTTCGTAGCCCTTAAGCTCGAAGGCCAAGAGAATGTGGCTGTAGGTCTTCAGGAAGGGGAGTTGTCCCACGACGTCTCTTAGATGCGCAAAGTCGCCCATTTTCTTCACTAGATAACCTTCGACTAAGGAGATAGAATAGCATCAGGATAATCTTCTGTTTAAGGCCTTCTCCGGGGAGGTAGAGAGTTGCAACAAGTTTTACAATGTGACTATTTATTGAGAGCTGGCTCGGAACGGACCTAACATAAGTTCAACACAAAATCTGCAGTGTTGGCGACCAGCGAATCCTTCCACCAACAGGAAAACCGCCCTCTAATCCACCGGCGGAGGTATTTCAGTCACCGCCTGTACAGAGTGACGTTATCACCGTGAAATCTCTATACTGTTGGCCCGATTCGGGCCCAGTGCTCCTAAGGCCATGTATCGGGGTGGCCATGATGGCAACTTCGGTGTTTGAGAAAGATCGGGACCCGGGATTTCAGGGCCGACCTACATCTTCCGAACGATACGAGGGCTCATGTTCGCATAGAGATTTAGTAGAGTATATCCACTTTTCACTGGTAAATACTTATATAGAGATAGTTATGAGTGGAACGCTTTCGGAGTTAGTTATTTCTCACATCCTACATCCGCACGCCAGCTGACCCTGCCCTCCGCCGGCGCAGGCACCCCAACATCTGCCAACCACGAGAAGCAAATGAGAAGCATGAAGATGGAATTGTACCCTTGAACTTTATGTACTCATGATACCAAGCATGCGAAAATCCGCCTGCAGTTATCTTCGTTAATCACCAGGTCCTAGTAGACAGTGTTATGGGACCGTGCCGAGTTCCTGTTTCTACAGCCGCAGGGCCAAACCCGTCCCAAAAGAGGTTTGTCGGGGAATTTACACATTTTCATGATAGCACTGGCCAGTGACCTGGTTAATTCACAATAATAGGTACGTAGGATTAACCGCGTAGGCACTCTTCTTTTGATATTACATGAGTTATACCCATGAGGTGTTGTCAGCTATATGGGGTCGATCGAAATCAGCTAACGACCGCATTAAAATAAATATTGGCCGAAATTTATTGATTGACATAAAAGCGCCGACCTCTTTATGATCTCCGAGACCAGACGTTACCGGCAAAATTCAAGACGAATGTCACGTTCTAGATACACAGACCGCTTCGGGAATGGAAGTCTGGTCGTTTTCTGATACCGACATGATGAGCTGAGTTATGAGGTATATGCCGCCCCCCGAAAACCGGACGCCCTCGGGAATTTCTACCGATCTGTGTATGCCTGAGTTTTTGAAGTTATCCTCTTCCGTCGCCATCTAAAACCTGCAGTTTCTAAAAAGTTAGGTGCCTGAGACGATTCTTCCGCCGGGTTTTGTAAACATCCATCGTAGTTATAATGGCCCACCGATCATGCATAAATAAAAGATAAGAGGCTGGTATCACAACGACGTGCGGGCTCACATGCTCTGCTAAAGAGGAAGAAGGGTTGTGATATACATTTCGAGGCTAGGCCCCGCTGCGTGTTCGACTGCACCATCGAAACTGTGAGCTCCTTCTTCAACAACGTCCCTATTCATTCGAATGGCCGATGAAGTCCTTTGGATTTCTCTTCTACGGCCTTAACCCCTAGATTCTTTCAGACTCGACAAATTCTATCCTTGTTTAAAGACAATTGCACCCTAAAGATCATGACTTCCACTCCACCCCTGAGTCGAGACTCATGAACTACCGTCCTCCTATTCGGCCCTCAAGCTCTCTCCTACCGAGAGGATTCTTTAAAAGCTTTAAGGCAAGCTCTGACAGAATCAGAGGACTATAGGTGGAGCTAGATATAGTATCGGAACTACCAACTCTCTGGAGTACCCTGGTTATGAAACTCCCCGAGCTTCAGGCAATCCCAGGAGAAAAGCTGTTGAAGAGTTTAGGCAGTTGGCTCAAGACAGGAATTTTTGATCAAGTGCCTCCGCAACTCCCGAACATCCTCCTTATACCCCTCGTTGTCCTTACCTAACCTACGCAGTTCTCTCAATACCTCCCCTAAGCTTGCCTAATAGCTTAGACAGAGTTCCAGATTTTCATGCCGCTTTCGCTAAACGTAACGCGGCGACGGTGGGATTTTGCACTAGTTTACTGAGCGCCTCTGCCGTCTCCGGCTCGTATGACAGGCATCATTTCGAAAGTATGGCGCGGTCTCCGTGCGTCTGGCCATGCTCGTTGGCTCTATTGTTGACGCGCACGACGCCTCCGACCGCCTACATGGCCGCTCTAAGTCATTCGCTGCAGCATGGACCTCTTCAGACATGGCGCGGGAGTTGGTTAGAGTACTTGACGGATTCCCAGAGGTAATTCTAGACTATGCAAGGATGATATGGCGTGTCATTAATATGGTGCCATGGGCGTATATATCGGCCCTGTACGATGAAAGGCGCGCGACCTTGATAACTTCAGAAGGTACTGCTCCTTTACTACTTCAGCAACTAAGGCAAGTCCGCGTTACCGCTTCTGAGGTGGGACTTCGCGGTCGATTTCACTGTCAAAGGCCATCGAGACAGTCTTGACGCGGTCGTGAGGTTTTGCGATTCCAATCCTGCTTTCCAATTCCCAGATACCCCTGGTCTCACGCTTCCTATACACCTGGACGACACGGGGAAGATGGAACAAGGATTGAAGCTTCACCACATCGTTCTACGCATGATTCTCGTAGAGCAGTCGAGGTGGTATAAAACCTTCGCTTTCGTTCATGCCTCGCGATTAAACTCCAAGGACTCGATAGTAGCCTCCTTTGGCCCTGATCGCGGCGTCCCACCTTGGCTGATGCGCAATCTCGGCCCGCGCCTAGTTCAGGTATCCGACCTGGATCAAGCTGTACCACGACTATGTGACAGCGCTCTCGACCCGTCTGCAGCTTCAAGCCACCAAGGTCAGAGGGAGGGGCTTGACAACGACATCGCCATTGTTGGTATGGCGTGTCAAGTGGCAGGGGCCAGCGACCTCGAAGAATTCTAGAAAATTATATGTTACGTGGCAATCAAACTAGCCCTTATATGCCTATATACCGCAAAGCGTAAATGTAGGCGTCTACGTTTTACGCGACACATGAATAAGAAGTTCATATGGCTGTACCTTGGGTAAAGGTTAAACGAAGTTACAATCCAGTCCCCATGAAAATACCCCGCGCAACCGGCGAATAACTACACCGAGACCGGCGGTGTTGCAAAGCGTCCCAACCACCAAGCTCCTTGCAGAGCAGTAGTGGTTTTGTTAGCCGCCAGTAAGAACCAAACTCCTCACATCTTGGTGTTGAACAAAGTATCCGTAAATATGCGCCCTAGTCATTTCTATTTCACGTTGGGGAGCTCTCAAGGGTAGAATGTTGGAAGTGGATGGTAGGCGTTAAAGAGACCTCGCGGATCATAGACCTTCTTCAGGGCAGCCAGCCGAGACAGGTTCTCTTGTGAGAACAACGCCCGAAGCGGCTCATCCCCGTTCGAGAACCCGACATACGTGTTCAAACCGTCCGTGCCTGCGGTTCGGGAAATCGTCGCACGCATCCTTTTTGGGAGGTTATCGATGGTGGCATCCGTACTGCTGTCATCATCGTAGACAATGCCCCAAGTGCTGGTGAGTCGTGTCAGCGGGTAAAACTTTGGACTTGTCAAGAATACAGAGAGTCTAGCGGGGGGAAGACTTACTAGTGCCCAATGGCCTGTCTCCATGGGTAAGCCGTAGACTTTTTAGGATATCGCCTGACGACTTGCGTAGCGCAGAAATATAAACCGTTGTCGCTCGCCCTCATCTGTGGATATCTGGTGACCATGTCGTTGAACTGTTCTGTCATGCTGACATGTGCATCCACGTCAACCTCGTTGAATGCAGCGCTCAAGACTTCCCGCTTGCCAGAGGATACTCTACACTCTAAAACAGACTCATCCCCACCCGAGAATAGTGTGTAGGATAGTAGTTGGTCCCATGGTACTGTGGTATAGTTCCGGCGGAGCGTAGGTCCGATGTTGTCAAGGAATTGCACCGCAACGCGGCCTTCAGACTCTGGCCCCGCGTACGCCGCGTTGACTTTGAGTGTCGGCTATTACCGGAAGAGGTATGATTATTAGCCTCCACACAAAGCATTATACAGATATGACGACCGAATTCGAGTTGCCAATGATACGTACCGCGTTGTGAGATGAATTCCAAGTCAGAGAGGTGGTGATACATAGCGGGGCAGGCATGTTCGCGGCTTCATCTTTGAGTGCCTGGTAGAAAGGCTTTGCGCTGGAGATGGGAAACTCGTAATCGGCACTGAAATGCAGACCGTTGGGCACTTCATCATATATGCGGTAGGTTGCGCTCAGAATAACGCCAAAGTTGAACCCGGCTCCACGAATACCCCAGAAAAGCTCCGGATTGGAATGGTGGGAGACTTCAACGACCGTCGTGTTGGGTAGCATGATACGCACAGAGAGTAGACTGTCTAAAATAAGGCCATACAGACCTTGGAGCCGTCCAATTCCAGCTCCTAAGGTGGCGCCTACCATTCCAACACAGGGGCTACTCCCGGTAGCTTAAGAGGCTTCATGTTAGCTAGGAAGTAATTGGGAAGCCAAGGGCACTTCTACTTACGGACATTTTTCCCCACATTGTAGAGAGAGCTGATTACGTCCTTGAACAGAGTAGCACTCCCGATAGTCATGACATTCGCTTTCGGGTCGACCTTTATGCCATCGAGGTTACCGATGTAGATCTCGAGCCCGTTTTGCAATTCACCAAAGCCCGAATATGTTCCATGGCCGGTACCGGTAACCAGGAAGTGTGTCGCGGTCAGCCTCGCGCAATTAATCTATAATGTGTCAGCGTGACTCAGAGAACAAACTCTAGGAGACAGATCTTACGTACCGAGACTCTGATATCATGCTCGTTGGAAACCCTCGAGACAGCCCTGAACGTAGGGGCGTTTAGTGTCGAAAATCGAACGGTGTCGTTAGAAAATCCTAGGTCACCAGGAAGCACGATGGATTCGTGGGGTGACAGTGACCGTTCCAAACAGTCAATCAGCTTGTCGAACCTCTTGCCTATTGACAAGCCGATAGCGAATGGCAAGGCCAACAACGCAAATGATACGTAATGCATCTTGCCAAGGCGTAGCACGAGATCCCGCGCACGAAAAGCGAATTCCAGAGAGGCACGATGGAAGGTTATTAGACGCTTTATATGCTAGAACCAATCCAGTTGACAAAACCCCTAATTATATGCCGCATGTTAATTCTAGTCGTAGCCAACAGGCCCCTATTCAGATAGGGGTAACACTGCGCTGACTAGGGAGCCTGAGGATTGCGCCGCAAGATAGGCTAACGTAATCACGCTCCTGTTCAGCCGGCCGGAGTTCAGGTATCGACAATCGATAAACCGCCACTGTGGAAATGAGGACCTACATTATCTCTGTAAAAGTTAACTGTCCGGGCCTCACGTTATACTTAGCGGAGCTGAAGGCTAGAGAAGCACCTCGTCTCTCATGGGAAATAGAGGCTCCGGAGTTACCGAGATTCTGCTTCGTTCGATACTCCATCTATTTGGTTAGTTTAATAGCCTCGAGGAGCTTTGGCAATTAGGGGTCGTCTTGACGTGCTGGGGTAGGACTCCGCGTTCGCCCTGGAGTTCCAAATATTGCATGATGCGATTCCGCCATTACGGAACGCCACCTGTGACACGTTGGATAGCGGTAAAACGCAAATGGGGGCACTGTTCTGGCCTACCGCCAGACACGATACGGTACACGTTCGCATGATAGCCTAGGCCGAACCATGCTCTCGGATCACCAAGTTTCGTTTCGTCTCTAGGCGGAATTAGGTATTGCGTCTTCTACCTCTCGATGAGATACCGCCGGAGTGGAAGAGGCGGTAAGCAATAAATGATGATGAACCGGAGTAAAATAATATCCGATATGACTATACTCAATTCTATCAATAAAAAGAGAAAAAATGTTGCCTCATCTAATATCAGGACGCCTTCACTTGATGGCTTGACAACGTGTTCTTCGGTTTCGAAGAGCCACGAGGACACAGGATCCCCAGCAAGAAGTAGAATGGCGCCATGAGAGTACTCACGAAACATCCTATACTCAAAGGTGAGAAAACTTGAATGTGCGGATGTGGAGATGTAGGAGGCAGGCGACGTGCTATTGGGATGGGTGTAGAGAAAGGGTCGTAATTTTGGTGATTTCTCTCGTTCACAAATAGCGATTACTAATCACACCAATACATGCACACTTACGTCATTTAGCGGGAGTCGAGATGTTTGATTAGCTAAATATGAGGTTGTGTGATTACGTAAGGCGTCCGTTAAGAAACTATCTGGCATAATTCTAGTTCTAGCACCGAACCTCATAGGGGCTCGACGTAGTTATTGGAATTATTCCTTCTTTTAAGATGTCTCCTATAATCTAGTCATCGGCTTTGATAATCCTTGCCCGGTACAATGTGAATATCGGTAAGCAGGGTATAATAATCGTCCCGAATGACGATAGGATCGAATTCTGGGATGATAGGGAATGGAGAGCTTTATGCTTCATTGCCATCCCAAATTAGCATACAATTTACGTAGTATCTTATCTATGGTCCGTTGCCCGTCTGTAGAATGGACACGTAAGAGAGCCTGGGTGATGGAGTGACCCCGTGACGGTTGATGCAAAATACGTCTCTCGATTCTATCGGCATGAACAAAAGTGAAAGACGCGTGCCGAACCTTAGCTATGGCCGCTCTGCCATCTCTCCAGTTGAGAGGTGTTCTGTTGATAGTTAGTCGTATTTATTTGTACTCGCCTTCGTATTTCATCCTGGGGAGTGTTGCCAGTTGCGTAGAAGAGCGCCAAGCACTATTTTTTGTGAAAGTCGTCTCCGGAAGGATAGGAGCACAAACCTACGGACGAAGGCTACCGCCGCCGGCCCTCGACAAGCTTGTGAAGATAAATCCGCGCATGGTCTATCCCGCCATACCTAAGTCAGCAGACGCTATAGGCGAGCTTCAGGACGTCACAGTATTAGTGCGTATCGCTAGATGTGTCAACTTTACGGCCAAGTGGATCGAGGAGAACTTTGGCCGAAGCGATAGCTTTTGAAACTATCAGCTACTTCGGGATATGACAAAGCGAGAGGTGATTCCCTATTAATCTTGGATGCTGCGGAGACTACCGGTAGGGGCTAACTCGGTTACGCAGTCGAGGTGAGAAGAGTTAACATGCAACAGGGCGACGGAAGCCGATCACGATGACCTACAGTTCCTTTGCGAGATTTGGCAACGAAAGGGAACTATCGTCCCCTCCCAGTCACGGCAAAATAGATTCCATAAGGTGGGATTTTGGAGGTGACGCAAGGGTGTTTACGATATTTCCCTTCTTCCATGCGAGAGGATCCAGGTGCCACACCTTTCTGGGGCCTAGACTGACTCGAACGTAGCTTTTCGGGCTCCTCGCCTTTACTGGTGAGAGACGCGAACATGGATCTATAATCTTCGATGCAACTGGCGGGTAGCTCCGGTCTTTCCAATCGTGAGAAAAGCTTCACCGGTGCTGGCTGGGGCCTCCGCACTTGGCTGTGGACGGCCCCCTCCTGAAGACGATCATGCAACATCAGAAAGTGCGGGCAGTGTTCCTCGTGCCCACCGTGATCGAGCAACTCGTCCACCAGGGGCCCAACGACATCGACCTATTCAAGAACCTGGATTGGATCGGCTAGCTATGTCGACGCCCTTCTCCGCCCTTGAGCTGGAGACCACCTCTCGCTAGAGGCAGGTGTTGACCTGATCTCGCCCTTCGGCTCGACAGAGATTTTCTCGGTGCCAGGATTGGCGGTCGGTCGCGAGGATTGGGCGCGGTACGAGTTTAACCCCCATTTCAAACGCGAGATGCTGCTCCACGACGCCGACGAAGGACCGTTCGAGCTGGTTATGCAGGCCGATGACGTAGAGGTGTGCGCCGTCTACCATGACCTACCCAACACCACCGAATACCGCACCGGGGACCTCTCCCAACAGTACCCGGAGAAGCCGCAGTTGTTCAAATACTACGGTCGCAGAGACGACATCGTAGTATTGTCTGACAGCGAGCGGTTCAATGCTACGCCACTCGAGATCGATACCCGTTGGTCAAGGGAGCGTCGGCGGTGGGAGATGGCAGGCCACACGCGGCGCTGCTGGTCGAGCCGAAAGACGTCCTCGACGAAGGGGCGCGGTCTATGAGTAGGCTGCTGGAGGATATTTGGCCGCCGGTAGAGACAGACAGGGACGTAGGTATCCTTAGAAGCCAGATGCTCGCAGTCGGCCCGATAGGCCATCCTACAGAACTGGCAAAGGCACCGTGGTTCGTAGACTAGCAGAGCGAGACTGCGAGGACGAGGCGACTAGGCCCGATCTCACGGGCACGGGTTGCCCCTAGGCACCCAGCATACGCGCCTGTACCTCCTAAGAGGTCGGTAACGAGTACCTAAGTGGCCCAGGGTACCTCTAGCCCCAGGTACGTGATTGATCGGCCACGCGGGAGCTCACCAACGAAGCGGCGACACGGGCGAGCAGAGGGAGGAGTTCAAGCAGCGTAGCGGGCGTCACAGGTGGAGCAGATAAGAGCCCGGCGTGGTATTTGGGCACTACACCGGGTGTACCATGAAGGTACTGGGTACTTAAATAAGAGTATACGCATGTACCCGTATTTGCGCGACGGCCCTGTAGTCCCATTGGCCAGCCCTGTCCCCCTTCCCCTATTCCATCGATCCCTGTCGCGAGTGCACGCCATTTTCCTCTTCCGAGACAGGCGCGACTACCACCCGGGTCTAGAGGAGGTACCTAGGCTAGGTACCTAGGTACCTGTTGTTAGTCGTCTCGGTGGCCTACGTCAGGTGCCTCGGCGACGCTAAAGTCGTGGTTGTAGTGCTTCCATAAGGAGGTGTATCTTCGATGTTGGGGTGCTATCCGCAACTCTCCCTTGCTCCTCTCCCCCCCCGCCCCCTTAACCGCCTCCAATGCTAGCCAAGCAACCCCAGATTGGCCATCCGGGAGATCGCAGGACTGCCATCATCCATATTTGCGGTTCAGTATACCCCTTGTCAGATCACACGCGCCGGTCAGGTCTAATCGCTGACCGTGCCGATGTCTGACAAGCGGTAACCCCCAGGTCCATCCCCGGAATTCACCCAACAGATCACAGACACGAACGTCGATGCAGCAGCGAACGGCCTATCATGTCGACACCCCCCCTCTGAGGATGCCCACGTTGAGCATTGTCCTTCCCGAGCAATATATCACCGCAGTAGTTACGCCAGCAATTCGGGGGGTGCTTGGCCTTCCCGTGCCGCCGTCTTATACGAATGCCATCAACTGGTAGCCGACATCCCTCCGACTGCGATGCTGAACAAGAAGGTCAAGGCTGCGGCCGTGCACGCGGCGCCTGTGTACATGGACAAGGCGGCCAGCCTGCGCAAGGTCCTCGCCCTCATCAACCAGGCGGCGCGCAAATCGGTCGAGCTTCTCGCCTTCCCCGAGGTTTTCGTCCCGGGATTCCCTTATTTCGCGTACGCTTACGCGCCTAACGCTGCCACCGTCGCCCTCTACGCCGCCCAGAGCGTCGTCGTGCCCGACGATCTAGAGGACGTCCAGGCCGCGTGCGCAAAATTTAATATTGTCGTCGTGCTGGGCATCTCGGAGCGTATGCGCGGCGGGAACTCGCTGTTCAACAGCATCGTGACCGTCGACGCCGACGGCACCATCCTCGGCGTTCACCGCAAGGTGCAGCCGACGTGGGCAGAGCGCCTCGTGTGGGGCCAGGGCTCCGGCTACACGCTACGCACATACGAGCTGCGGACGATGGATGACGGTGGTGGCGGCTACCGAATCGGCGGGCTCGCGTGCTGGGAGCATGTCATCAACGGCGCCCGGCAGGCGCTCATCGACCAGGGCCAGCACGTTCACGTCGGCTGCTGGCCGGCTCTCGACGTGCTCAAGGGCTTCGAGAAGGTGGCGTGCGCGCAGATCGAGGCCCTCATGAAGACGCACGCCCTGACCGCGCAGGTGTTCGTGCTATGCGCGAGCAGCTACGTCGATGAGACGTGCCTGCGGTGGATGACCGAGAAGCTAGGTCCCCAGGACAAGGTGAGGGCCGGCGGGGGCTGGACGGCCATCGTCCACCCCTTCTGCTCCATTGTTGCTGGGCCCCACACAACCAGCCAGGACAAGCTCGTCGTTTCTGAGATTGACCTGTCCCAGTTAGACCTCGTGAAGGCGTACGTCGATGGTGTGGGTCATTACAAGCGGCCTGAGGTCTTCAGTTCGCACGTTGACATGACCCAGAGGTGGAAGGACGAGCCGGACATTGTCGGCCCTATCTCGTGGTGTTCTGAGGGACTAGGCGAGCCGTGATTGCGCGTAGTTAGAGAGACGACGCTGGATAATGCGATGTTGTGTTTTTCATTCCCCGACTCGCCATCGTAAAGGGCGTCCTGTCATGCAATAGCCGGTAGTGGGTCTACTTCCAACTCGATTGGGGGGAGGCCGACTGCCTTTCCGTAATCGGCTGGTGAATGAATTCGGAGCAAATCCCGGACGTAACCCGGATGCGGGTCTCTCGCGACACAGCACCGAAGGGGAATAAATAAATTCCTACTACGATGAACGGTTTCCCGCAATGTCATTTTTCTGTCGCTAGTCCTCTCATCAATGCTCTGTCCAACTGGCAAAGCGAACATAATGGCGGATAAGGAGTCTAGCCCAGACCACACCCTGCACGTGTATTACACGCGGTACTCGAGTAGGTCTATATCCGTCTCATCCCATGTCTAGCTCTACGCATCTGTAGCTCTAATGCCCCTCCTCTCCTCCTCCTCTAGGCTGGGGAGCCCGTGTAACCCTCGTGATCTCGTACTTCGACATCCCGTGCACGGTCAAGATGTACCCGTTCGCGCCGGCGGTGGCATCCGCCGCCGCGGGCCCTCCGGCGCACCTCGGGGGGTCGCTCCTCCCGGTCCTGCAGACGCTGTCGTCCAGCCCCGGTGCCGAAGACCTGCTCGTGGGCGACTCGCTCGCGATCTGCGAGTTCCTCGCGGAGCGGTACCCGGGGAGGGGACTGTGGCCGGCGGACGGCGAGCTGCGGGCGCGCGCGCGCGCCGCCGCCGCCCAGATGCACGCCGGCTTCTCCGCGCTGCGCGATGCCTGCGCCACCGACTTCGTCGGCCGCTACACGGGCGCCGGCATCGCGGCCGCCGTCGGGCCCGCCGCGGCGCGCGAGGCGCGCCAGCTAGTCACGCTGTGGAGCCGCGCCCGCGCGCAGACGCGCGAGAGGCTGCAGCGCCTCGGCGCCGCCGACGACGGCTTCCTGTTCGGCGGCTTCAGCATCGCCGACGCGTTCTTCTGGCCGGTCCTGTGGGTGCGTGTGGTCTAAGTCTCTTTCTTCCTCACCCCCCCCCCCCCTGACGCAGCGGCGCGATGGGCTGACGTTCACGGCAGCGCTTCCGCTCGTACGGGCTGCCCCTGGACGGCATCACCGCTGACGGCCGCGCGTGGATGGCCAGGATGTGGAGCGATACGGCGGTGCGGCGCGAGGCCGCCGGCTACTTCCGCCAGCTGGCCGAGCCGCTGTCGCGCGTCGCCAAGTACGACGACGTCTTCGCTGGCAACTCCGATATCCAGTACGACCGGTTCGCCGAGGACTGGACGTTTCCGGCCGCGTGACGGGGGGCATGGCATATTCTTTGCGTTGGTGCTACTTTTGTGCCTGGATTTCGGGTGTGCGTCCCGTCTGGTTATCGCGCATAGCCTGAAGATGTTCGAGGAACTGGTGGTCACACGGGCACAGCGGGTGTGAAGTCTGAACTTCTTGATGATAGCCGCGTTCACTTGCCCTCCCTCCCCTAGATTTCAACCCCAAAATATGGATAAGTGATACTCTCAACCATTAGACGTGGTACTTGGTTAATTTGTATTTACGGCGTGTTCTCAGTCTTGAGTCTCCCCCGTCGGAGACTTCATCTCATAGTACATGATGGTAACACCTCCCGACCGCTATATGCCTATCTGCTGAACTCGTCTATCATGATCATAAGGCCTGGGTGGTAGATATGCTGCCGCGTTTTTTTGTGGGTTAATGATTCATAAATGCAACACGCTGAAAATATGTGCAAAGCGAAGGTTGATTTACTGATGCCGAACGATTTAGATGTGCGGAGACGTTGTCGTCTGATCTCGCGGACGCAAAGGCGTGTGGGCTCGAGCGCCCTCCGCCCCCTATTCCCCCTATTCCGCTCTCAGACCCGCCGTCGGTCTATTCGGCCTTTATTCGGCTTTCTCCAGATCGAGTTTCAGAGAGCGACGCCTGCGAGGGTCCCGGGTCAGCGCCCACCATATGCCGACAATTGTGACGGTGAGGATGCCCGCGATGCCCAAGTACACCCAGAAATAGGGGGTCACCACGTTGTTGAACCCCGTCGCCCGCCAGTCGAACACGTCCATAGAAAAGACGGCCTAGAAAGATTGTCAGCTACCGGCCAGAAGGGGGCCAGTTGTTTTCTTATTTCTTCTTTGAGACTCTGCTCACCGCAACGGTCGTTAGGGGGAGGAACACCATAGTCATGAGTGCGATCGACTTCATCTGCTTGTTATCCCTCTTCGTCTCCATCGCTATGCGCTCGCTCGCAGCCGTCTGGTGCCTCGCGACGTGGCCCGACACCTGTTCGTTCTCGGGTATTAGCTGGGGGTACAGGGAGAAGGCGAAACGAGGTATAGGCAGAAGGTCTACGGTACCACTTGTGTGCTGAAGTTCAGCATATCCAACGTCTGATCGCACTGGTCCATCTTCTGGTCGTACTCGGCCAGCATTTCGAGGAGCCGCTCGCGGATCTGTAGTTCCATATTCGAATGCACATCAAACCTAGGCTTCACTAACCTAGATTTCTCTAACCTAGCCTTCTCCAACCCAGACTTCTCCTTGGGTCCTACGGCCAGTTTTGTCGAGGTTATCTTCTTGGCCTTGATTTTCGCATGTACCTTCTCAAGCTCGTGGGTGTGTTGAATCATTTTCGAGATCTGCTGTTTGACCACCCGAATGCCCCTAATTAGCGTCCTGCCACTGTCATAGAGGTCCATGAGCTGCTGATATTCCTCGCCATCCCGGTTCAATAGCGTCCCTGGGTCTCTGGGCGCACCGCCAAGCCCTTCCTTGCTTGAGACAAAATCATCGGTATTGGTATCTGCCTGCTCTGAAAGGCGTCTGAAGTCGAGTTCAGCTAATATTCCCGCCGCTAGCATAGGGTGACAGGCGAACGGCCCTGCATTGGCCAGCATATCTCTGATACCTTCTGACTGTTTATCAGTACAGCCGTAGAAGACAGACATGCTCAGCTTCTTGTGGACGATATACGTCGACGACATGGCGATATCGTTTGGCCATGTCGAACTCATTCTAGCGGTATACACTTGAAAGGATTATTCGTCTAATTCGAGGCCCAGATACCAGAGGCTGCCATCGCATACCTATTCTATTCCCGGGGGGATCTGCGGAGCGAACGGACTTCCGAGAAAAGTTCGCGATTTCTCGACGAATTGCTCGAACAATCATAGGGCTGATGTGGAACAGCTCGATCAACTGGCCGAATGCTTCTACCAAGACCGGGAGATACGACGGATGAGAACGGTAAACCTCTCCATCTGCGGCTCGGCTAAAGACGCTGGTTGCCTGGAATTAGTCATGGCCCCGGCTCTCACGCTCGAAGAGAACTCACACAGCAAATATTCCATCTTTGCAGTCCCCATTTATGAAGTCCCTATTCTATGAACTATCAGCCGATTATTATAAAAAGATGCCAATTGATAACAGACCTCCGCAATCCATCCCTTAAGATGCTGAGAGGACTTGATGTCCCAACATATTACAGGTTTCTGGTTCTGATATGGGCGGTCAGTATCATCCTCGATCGCTCTGTGTCAGGTCCAAGCCGCATGTAAAGGAATAGATACCCTGTCTGATAGCTGTTTCCAGATGATCTTAAATCCTCTTTCTGTGTACTTGAAGTTCCTGAAATCATTATCGTTGAATGGCCCCTCTGCACGAGGCCAGTCCATTTCCGGTTATCACTGGGTGTGATTTGGGGGCTAATATTAGCACTTCCTGGCCCCTACTATGAAAACCATGGGTGTGCTGGTAGTAGAAAACAATAATGAGGCAGGGAAATGCACATCATCGTGCAACCTTTGTCTCCTGGGCTCAAGTCCTAAAGTCTTGGTCACCTCTCCATTTTTGCAACAAAATGGGACACTAGCCGCCATTGCCCATAGAGCCTCACATCTAACGATTGTTTCATCTCTTGGGCAGCAGTGCATAGATGCTACATTAAGCAGCCAGTTATGTTGTGCCGGTCTGTCCATGCATTTGGAGTATTATGTCACATATCCAGCCTGCTGTTTCTCCTCATCGAATAGAGAAAATGGCGCACCCGGTCCTCTGCCCAGTAGAGTACACACCCACCAGCCCACACCTCGGTTGTTACCGCGTTAATACGCAGAGATGTGCGATGGCTTATGCAAGCGTACTGAAGCGAGTGCTGACGTGCTGCATTATCACTGATCCACGATAACCCAGGAATAGCCGGGGTCTTTTCAGCCTCAAACCGTATAGATATGTTTGGGGGGGGGGGGGATGAGGGGGGTTGAGGAGGGGAAGGAAAAGTCAACCTCGACATCTGCCTTACCATCCTTACGAGGCGAAGTGAACGATCCCCAACAGACCCGATCTAACATGGAGAAACCCCAGATCCCCCCTGGCTGGGTCAACTCGATCCTGAGATACAAGTACAACGATGGCGAAGACATCGTAGAAGGCCTGAAAAAGCTGTTCGGGGACAAATTCATCCTTAAAGTTGGTACATTCCGTGGTGGCGGGACGCATCATTGGCGCAGAAAGTAGCTGACCGACTTTTTCTCAGCACCGCAATGATCGCTGGATCATATGGGCCGAGAGGAAACTGACCGATGTAGGCTGGTTTATCTGAGAGCACTACCCTAGCCAACTGTTGCTAATAATCTATTAAAGGATGAAAAACGGCTGCTTGACACGGTCGCGCATATACATCACTCGTCATGAGCGACCTCGAGGTATTCGAACCGGAACACCGCTGTAATTAAGACCTCTAGGATGTACAGATTAGCGAGATGTCGAAAACAAGTTTGACAAACGAAGATAGATAGAAAACCGATGGGGTGATCCGAGATTGTGCCTCGCCAGCTCCGTACACACAGGTCGAACGCGAGCAAGAGGCGATCCAAAGCATTCCTGCTCGCTGCAACCCTCTCTGTCCCTTTATTGTGAAAGCGCAGTATTCTTCCATAGGCCATCGACATTGCTGTCAAGCCCTGTGGCCCGTGCACTGACACGATGCCGTCCTAAGTCTTGGAACGGAGTAAGTATTATCCGGAGCCCACATTGATATGAAAAAGTTCCCATCCGCACCTCCACTACTGAAAAAGTCACAGTAACATGGCCAGCCATGGCAACTAAACACGAAACAGACATTCAAGAGATACATCGAGTTCCGGCAGCAGTAGCCGTTTCAGCCGCAATCAACGATGGTAAAAGACATCTGCTTTTGGCCGCTTGTAAGTACTACTTTTCCATTCCTACCATATAACCCTCCCAAAACGTATGTCCAAATCAAATCAAATACCTCTAGAACATAAAAGAAAACTAACGGATTTTCTCCTCCCTTCCGTGACAGCTGGCTCTGTTGCCACTATCAAATTACCCATGATTATTTCCTCGTTTGAAAATCACAAGAACCTCTCGATTCGAATCATCCTGACCGAATCGGCAACCCATTTCCTTGATGGTCAATCTCTAGAGCAACCGACGATCTCTTCCTTGGCTTTACTCACCAATGTGGATGGCATTTATCTCAATGACGATGAATGGAACCATCCATGGACGAGACATTCGAAGATACTACACATAGAACTCCGCCGTTGGGCCCATCTCCTCGCAATTGTCCCGATGTCGGCGAATCTATTGGCAAAGATCACAGGGGGTCTCTGCGATGACATTCTTACCTGTGTCACCCGGGCATGGAACACAAAACGTACAATTATTGCAGCGCCAGCGATGAACACGTTAATGTGGGAACATCCCATCACCACAAGACAATTGGCCATACTTGAGGAATGGGAATGGTTTGAAATATTATCACCACAGGTAAAAGCATTAGCATGCGGTGATGTCGGACAGGGAGCAATGCGGGATTGGAAGGAGGTTGCCGCCGTGATAGACAAACGGCTAGGCAACCTAACAAGCTACGACAGTTCCGTAGCGGAGACTGTCAATGGAGAGGGGTTGACAGGAGAGGAGAATTAACCGCCCTGTCGAGCACCTACTGTCCATTAATCTCGACTTGGTCCCCGAGCACAAGTAGCAATGCCTCATAACTCAAATCGGCAAGCTCTTCCAAGACGAGGCAGCCTGTTTCTCCTTTTCCGATGACAATTACGGAGGCGGAGGAAATCGCCCGCCAAGTCCCATCTCCGGCGGCTTACCTAATTAAGAAAGCGATCCGTTACTCAGGCGCCTATATCACCAGTCTATGTACGTACCTATACCTACATAGTTGCTTGTGGCAGCACCCCTTAATTGACGGCTTCTCGCACAGGAATATCGGTATCCTGGCTCTCCTACTGTCTCGTGCTGCTGTACTAGAGAGAGGCCGTGGCAGTTTCATGCTTCCCCGCGGTCACGGGGCCACTGCAAGCGTTGCACGCCCTCTGCCTAGAAGCAGGAAGAAGTCATTGAGATCATCGAACACATAGCCACTCCGGCCTCTGTGGCACCCACAAAGCCTCCTGGACCGAAAAGACACAAGACAACTACCTTCCGACAGCAGTAGGTCGAACGCCACTTAAATGGTGAGCCAATGGTTCCATAATGACAAATCAGGCTAACTCCCACCTTCAGACCATGCCAAGTAACGTCTGAGAGGAAGATAGCCGACAAATGAGAGCGTCAGTTGTAGCTCCTACCCCGACTTCCATCTTCCGAGTTCACCGAGGGACATCAACTAAACGGCCTGAGCATGGCTTCGCAAAAGAATCCTCCTGGGCAACTCGTCTTGGAGGATTTCTGGGTGTCATCTGTTTCTTCCTCCTGCGCAACCCCTAAGACTCAGCCCTGAGCAGCGAGCCTTCAAGAACAGCCCGTGGGTTTAAGAGGACAGTCTGATTCGCCTGAGAAGAGAGAATGATCTGTTGAAGGAAAACTTCAAGGCGAAAAAGCATGAATGCAGAGAAGCGCACAAATTAGTCCAAGACATAGCTCGCGAGCAAGAGAAGCTACAGCGCCGGCTTTATGAAACCATCGCGCAGCTCACCAAGACCCAGAAGGAAAACGAAATATTACTCAATCGACTGGAAGTGGGCGAATTCAGCACTATTTCGGGTACTTCACCTCAATTTTAGTACGAGACAAGCATCAAAGTGCTGCTCATCCCAACGCCAGAACTCCCATATGTAATTGGAACAACTCGGGTTGCGACAAGAGGATCAGAAATACACAAGATTTGGGGAGACACATCAACTTCGAGCATCTCAATCAACCAATCCTGGCGCCTGGGCGAGCAGGTATCAGCTCGCTTTGGACCGGGCCTCGAACTGGAGGAAGCGTGCTCAAATGCTGTGATTGCTGCGGTAATGATTTCCTCGACTTGGAAAGAAACAGGACCAAATATCCACACTATTACTATAGCTTCTAGCAGTGTGAGGTGTGTGGTCTTCGTTTTAGCGAGAGAAAAAAAAACAATACGAACGCCACGTCAAGGCACACAATGCTGATGGAGAGACATTCGTATGCACTGAAGAAGGCCGCGATCAAGAACTCACAGACAAGTCCGTAAGGGATCGACATGTTCGGAATGATCATGAAGGCAAACGGCTCATCTACCCTCATTATAACGAGGAGTATGCTTTGTCCTGCAAGTCAAGTTTTGAGGCCCATGTACTGCAGCATATTGGGTGGGAGCCGGAGCGACAGAGCTTCAAATGCCCCTACGCGGATTGCAACAGACAGTATTCCAGGGCGACAGGCTTAAGGCTGCATCTCGACTCCCAACACGTCAAAGTCAGGTACTATTGCGAAATCGACGCCTGCAGTACAGACCAGCCCACTTTCGCGAGCCTAGACACTTAGAGGCACCATTGCAATGTTACGCACAATAGGGTTAAAGCGGCCAAACTCACTCGACCCTTAGACTCACAGAGACAAGCCCGGCATCTCCAGAGGCTGAAAGAAAAGGCCAAAAAGGATTGCGTTGCGATTCAGGTCCATGTCCTAACAAGGGAGTGGTTTCATTTGGCTGGACAACCATGCCATTGTGCGAAGCACATGTCGAAGTGTGGCTACGAAAAACACAGGTCCACAACCGTCAAAGGATCAAGAAGAGTCTCGCTGCCCATCCGCAGTCAGGCTGGGGCGAAAAAAACATTGACAACCCGGACGAGATGGAATCCCATCTCTCAGTTGTACCTGTGCCGCCCATTATTGTTAATCTCGCACGAAAGGTCGAACATCACAAATTATGCGGTCAAACATTCTTTATCGACTTCAAATCCCTATACCTGTCTAAGCTGGTCGTCATAGAAGGACAGGCGGTAAAGTGCATTCCGACAGAAATTGCCGTTTGCCGCTCTGATGGAGAAGTTGTACTTGCAACTTCCACCAAATACAGCCGGACAATTTCGGACATAGCTGCTGCTGCTCCTCCCCAGACCCCTGCTTAGTTTTAGAACCTATTACGTAGCTCGGTGTAGAGCTACGGCTGGTACAATAGGTTGTGCACGGAGAGCGATGGAATGCGGGTGAGAATGTGTATGTTGACTGACTAGAAAAGAAAAGAGCTACTCCAGATGGAGGAGCGAGCTATGGACCTATATAGAATTAGAGGGCAGGCTTAAGTAAGTAAGGCAGCTCTCCACTGTAGGTGTATGCCTACGTGACAGAACCACTATCAAAAAATATACGGTCAAAAAGATCACACTTAGGGAATTTGCTAAACTGAAATCAAGCAAATGTTAATTGACGCGGGCATGACGAACTATCTTCCCTCTTGAAGTAGTCTGTCGGTTTAAAGGGTTGTCTTCCCCTATAATATTTCCCAAGATCTTGCTGTCGATGCCGCTTGTAGACGTCTTCTCTCGGTTGGTGCCGGTGCAGGGTGCTTAGTAGATGTGTCAGGGTGTGTAGCGCCGGTACAATCTCCACAAAGGTAATCCGAAATCACGCGCGTCCCTGCAGGGGCGCAATGCCGGGATTCGTCTTTTATAACACGCTCTATACAAAATCACTGATGTCGGTGCCGGATCCTGTCGATTTATCGGTGGAATGCCCCGGGATGAACCTACACGAGACTTCTCATGAGTCCGTTCGTTGGTTCCCTTCCATAAAGCTTCTGTCCCTTAAGCCGTGCTTGACAAACTCTTCCAGCTTTTTGACGACTTCGTCCGCCGTCGGACGACTCTTTGGTACGATTTGGAACATATGTTCCTCGATGAAATCGATAAAGCTCTCGAGAAAAGGCGTGCATCTAGGGTGGTCGCGGAGCCTTGAGATCCAATCCTTCACGCCAGGCTTGATTATTGCTTCTTGGCCATCGTTGATAATGCGATAAAACTTGTCCTCGTAGAAATTCATAATCCGCGAGTCCCTTTCGCCACGGCAACTAGGAAATTCCTCTGAAACTGCTTGAAATCCTTCGATGTAACAAGTAACGAATTCCAGAAACGTGCATCCAAGTGCCCAGATATCTGAGCGGCGGGAGATCCTCGCGCCTCTGACATCAAACTCCGGGGCTTGGTATGATACTGTCTTCTTTACCCGATTTGCGGTTTGAAGAGAGATTGATACGTTTCTGTGGAATTCTGTCAAGCCGAAATCGGCGATCACCAGATGCCATGGATAAGGACCCTCGACCTCGGGATCTAGGAACCAGAGGATGTTGGCGGCTTTGATGTCGCCATGACGACCATAGATGGGATGGTCCTCCTCTTTGTAAGTATCTTGTTCTCTATGAAGTCGCGAGACAGCTCCCGCTAAGCCGAAGCATTGCTTGGCCATCCAGGGTAATGCCGAACTTAGAGAATTGTTGTTGAAGTTTCGTTCCCAGAGATTTGTCAGGTTCCCTTGAGCCTTGGGGAAGAGCAGAGCATATTTCCACCCACGATTGTCAATTGCGCCCTCACGAACAATCTCGATGGTGGCCAGCAAGGGGATGAAGTGTTGGTGAATGTTAAAGTCGTACTTCCGAAAAGCTTTCACCTCCATCTTGAAATCATTCTCGTTTATGGATCTGAGACGCTTCAGTGCAAATGAGTCCTTGGATGAACCGCGGCCTTGCTGTTTCTTATGTTAGTGCTAGTTAGGAAATCGCTGTACGGCGCACCTACCCATTTGGCGCTGAAGTCGTGATGCGATGGGTGTATCTCCACCAGATCCACATCGCCAAAACCGCCAGATAGAAGGATATTATCATTCTCATCTAGAACCTCGGTTTTGTTACCAGCTAGATCGCCTGGTCCAGTTCTGGTAAAAGGCAGCACGTCTTTGCTGTTCAGGACAAAATGAGGGATCGAGTTTCTTTTCCGGTAAAGGAAGGGTGAGATAGCCCGCCACTGGTGCGTCTCAAAAGTCTCGAGTTCATTGCGGCCCCAATGACTTTTATCTCGAAATATCTCCTTCAGCTTCCTGTTGTTGACCTCTTCGACGCTCTGCCGCTCCGTATTGTCAGAGTGGGTCGTCCTAACCCTTCGCCTCAACTCTGGGAAGGGAAGAAAGGAGTCGTTAACGCCTAGGTCGATAAACTTTTGGATATATCCGGTTCTTTGGCAGAGGACCAAGATAGAAAGTATTCTGAAAAACGAAGGTGAGCTTTTTGTAGAGGTCTTGGGGCAGATCGTGTCGAGGACTTCGGGGATCTTGTCCTGGGTGACTCCATCTTTGCCCCGGAGGGCCCGTTCGACTAGTGCAGGGTTCCTGGCCATTTCCAGCTTATCCAAAGGGATGAAACAGATACCCATAGTATCCATAGCTTCTATAGCATCCCACAAGATATCAAATAGATCTCTTTGTTCCCCAAGCAGTGGCTCATTTCGTTGTATGGCGTCCGAGGGAACCTCTCGCATGTGAACTAGTCGGAAACTATGACCGCGATCATGACAGTAAGGATGATCAGCTTTGAATCCATCTAGAAGGTGGATATTCCCGCCTTCGGATTGGACGTATTCCTGACTGAAAGATGGTGCCATCCGAGCTGTGCTTTTGTATTGATAGTATGGTAAATGTTCTTTAGCAGACTAGAGGTTATAGATACAAGTGTTTGCTCTGCTTTCTATGTTGCAGGTAGAGAAATGGTTGAACAGAGGGGATTCAAGGCCGTCCTAGTGGATGTAATTCTGAGTATCTCATGGAGATGTCTGGACCCAAGGGGCAGACTGTCAAACCAGATCAATTCCTAGGAGCCTTTTTTATAGTACGAAAAGTGCATTTTTTTGAAACAGTGAGTCACCACAGGCAAGTAAAATAGGCACCCATACATACAGCATTAAAGAGAGGCAGCCGATCAGTCTTTTAGTCCTAGCTACGTGACCCTAAATGCACAAAATGAAGCTCCTAAGCTAGAATCCAGCCTCGTTGCAAATATTGCTAACCATTCTGGTCTAATTCATCAATTATTCCTGGTACATTGGCCCCCCCCTACCTTTTCTAGGCTTCCTTCCGTTGTTACGTTAGCAAGAGTTGGGTTGATTATTAGGTATTTTGCATAGAAATCCATCCCTATAACTCAGAAAACTCCAAGACAGCACTTGTAAGAGAGAGCTCTTGCTGTTTTCTGTAGATGAATACAGTACAGTAACAGTGGTTGGAGCCATGCCTACGGTAAACCGTTCCTACGCCAGGATGTCTCAACAAGGACATGCGAACCAGGGCGCACAATTGGGAGCAAGGCAAGGCGTCACAAGCCTGTGCATTTGAGCAGGGATTATTGTGACTACCACGCCATCAGGACACCAACACAGAGCACACAGCTCCAAGAAGTGAAATATTTCTTGATAACAACCATCCCGAGGTCAGACACAGTCATCCTCCTGGCTTGATATGTCACACCTTCTGTAGGCTGCGGGCAAACAGGCAAAAGCGCAGATTGCTCAAATCTGCCTCGTGGAGCAAGGCTGCCAACTCGGTATTATTACCACCTGCCTGTTTCTGCCTATCTCTCTGTCTATTTCTCCGGACACCGATGCCCCTCACACACAGCCTCCTCAACTTGTTGACCTAAACCTCCATTGCTAACTCTTGACCTTTCTCCCTCATCGGCCAGATCGGTAAGGCGTACTTGCGAATGGGATGGGATTATGAGGAGGGTGTTTTCTCTCTCGGTTTTTCTTTTTCACCTACCTACCATTTCTCAGCCTGCATCGGCCATAACCCAACAGTAATAAAGCCACCAGCCGAGCCGAGGTGTGGACATGTAGGACTTTAGCACTTTAGCACTTTAGCACAGATTCCAGCCCCCCTCCCAGCCACCCACCCCAAGCCCACCACATGCCTTTGGCCCTGAATTCAGGTGCTGCTGTCAAGCAAATGGCGCGGATACGTGGCCAGTTCCGAGCTCCACCTGCTCATGATTCTGCCCTCAAATGAGGGCATGCAGTGCTAGAATACATGGAAGTCCAAGCCCCGCTGCAACCCAACGCATGGTACTTGTTTTCTTGTTTTCTTGTTTTCTCCTTACTTAAAAGGAGTGCATAACTAACTACAGAGGAAGTATTTGGTGTCTGTGCATTGCATTTGGAGTTACTATGTACTCGAGTTCTCACTTTTGCTTCCCTAATAGTGATTCTACCGCGTTAGTAGAAGGTCAGGCATGAAGCATTCTAGGTAAGGCTCGGATGGTGACTCAGTGCTGCTCCAGATATCAGCGCATGGCAAATGCACCTAGACATACCTATTGGTTTTATGGCTCCAGGGCTTCTTCCATTGGGCGATCAAATTGGCCACTAGTAGGGCCTGTAAACAGCAGAGGAGTGCAGAAGTACCTATAGAAAGCGGGCATCCAGCTTCTCGCCTCCTTGTGGAGATCAATAGGACTGAATCTGCCTGTGATTTTTGGTAATTTCGACAAATCTTCTGGGGAGCCTTATCATACGCGTAGTTATGCTGTGCTCACGATAACCTCGAACGAATATGCGCAACCCTATTTTGTTTAGATTGGGCGGCAAATCGCTAAGACTGTCTCAGTGAGAGCCGCTGCCACTCTCTGTGCCGTATTTGGCTGGCTGGGCATGGAATGTGTGGGTATATAAGCGACCATCCAAAACAACATGATCCAGGACAGTTTCTACTCTTTCACTTCTATTCCCTCCTTCTCGTTGTCTTAAAAATCTTGCTGCCCTCTTGTCAAAACCCGCACAAGATGTCGATAAAGAACAGTTTATACAATCCCAACCAGAGCTGCCCCCCTAAGGACATTCGTACGGCGTATTCCAAAGAATACAAGATCCCGGGATACCTCATAAGCCCAGAAATTCTGGTCAGGACGTTGCAGGCCATTTTCAACGATGATTATATGGTCAAGGTGATTTAGTCCCCCCTCCATGCCCGTCGTCCCTACCAGAGTAACTAATGTGGAGCGAAGTTGAGGAATGATCAGTACTCGATATCGATACCCAGACCACTGACGCGAGTAAGGGTCTAATAGTATCCTATCTCTGGCTAACCGTCGCTAATCGGCCAGAACGAGTTTGAGATGTTTCGATAAAGCGCCCGACCCTGCGTTGTAGGACGACACCCCTCCGCATTACTACATATTTGAAAATTTCGTAGCGAGCTTACTGGAACAAAAAAAGTCCTAGAATTTTTTGCGCAGCCAGTTTTTCGTTGCCAAGAAATGGTCAGCCACCTATTTAGACCTACCACAGGAGGTAGCCCTGTATCGTGACCCTGAGCCTCACATTCCATCTTGAGTGGCGGCATGGCAATCTCTGCCACCCGCCACACATATGTATACATAGCTCTCCTCTTCTGATGGTTTCAATATTATTTTTGGGCGTGCCGTATCTCCGAGGAGGTGATGCTTTCTATTTATAATCATACCTATGTCTTACTCTAAACCAATTATCGATAAGCAAGACCGTTTACTTTCGAAGTGCCCATTCATTAAGGCGAAGCCGTTGCTATTGAATTAATATATAGTGTCGCGGTAGAGGCGGAGTCGCTCTCACCCCTTCACAATTATCGACATTAAACGTGTAACCGGGTATGTTGAGGAGGACAGCCGTCAATACTTGGCCGAGAAATGCAACTTCTCAGAAAGCACCCGGAGAAACAGCCCGACTCCCTCCACCCGGGTGATAGACAATATGCTTAGTCGAAATAAGGCACCTGCCCCCTTTCCGCGCCGCCTCGGAACGTCGTTGGCCGGCTCGCGCCAAACCTAAGTACTAGGGATGCGGAAATACAATATGGCCAGCGAGATGTGGCAGTATAACATAAACACGAGCCGACGAGTTAGCATGACATATATTGTTCATAAAGTCATCGAAGTGACCGTTTGACACCAATATATATTCTCAACGAAGGGGGTCACTCAGTTAGTTGCTCTGCGACATACCTACCCTCTTGACAGAGGTAACTGACATGAAAATAGACACCTGCCTGCACTTACACATGGCTATGTGGTAGCGTATATATGGTTGTTTCAACACAACAAGATGCAGGAAACTCACGCTGTATATAACTCCGCAAGGGTATACGACTTAATTAGTTGAGCAGTTTATGGAGCAACCGTTTTTAATTGCCCCTAAACTAGGTCAGATACCGGGGACTTAATAAGCCATGGTATAGCCCTGCTTCAACCTAGAGCAAGCACTATTGCTTAGGATCCTTGGGACCCTCGATAACGTACAAACAGGAGAAAGGGTACATGGAGGTACCGGTTTCTAACGAAGTTTCCATAGAACGAAGGGGGTAATGAAAAAGAAGCAGAAGAATTCAAAGAGTTTATATGGCCACTATATAAACTAAGGTGGGAGGGGTCTCGGAGAGTCATTCCCAGACAACCCAGCGACGAGAAATTTCCATCAAGTCCACGGGTAAATCGCAACAAGCTAACCGCCCCTTTCCCCTTAAAATATCTCGAGTTAATTACCAGTCTGGGAACTGCATGTCGACCCGCGTGGTAGAGACAACACTTATTCCTGGTTGGCGGTCTCTGCCCTGCCGTCCTTGCTATTAAGATACTTGTTCCTACGTGCAAATCGGCTGATCAGCAATTCTTGCCTGCAGGCTAGCCTTGTGTCTCCCTCTTGCACGATACGTACCGTTTAGTAGCCCAGTCCATGGCATAGTAGGCAGCAATGAGGGGTGGTGCCCAGTACAAGACCTGCATGCGGAACCGGCGCCAAGTATTAAATATCGCGTCGTGCGCAGCACCAGCCAGAGGGTTCTGGCGGTTGGGACTGATCGTGTAGGTGATTATGCCTCTCTGGGGGCAGACGCAGCCTAGCAGACGGGATCCGTATCTACCGAACCAGCCACGGCAGCCAACGCAGCTTCGTGCCGATTCTTCGTCGAGAATTCACCCACCGAGGTTGCCCCAGGTGTCCTTATTGAGATGGCTGGAGTGGGAAGTTAGGTCACACTGGTCTACAATAATCGTGGACGGGTCGCTGATAACGCGACAGCCAAATCCGAATGACGCTCATCTCGGGACACGCCCAACTTATTGGCCATATTTCCCAATCGGAATCCCAGAGCTCCCGAGAATCTGCGACGGACGCATCTTGGAGGCGGGGTTCGATCACAATCAGCACCCATTCTATCCCGACCGAGATGATCGAGCGTTGGGGTGGCCACGAATTCATCTAAACTAGGCTCTCAAATCCGGCGGCGAACTCTGGAAATAGGACGAGCAGGCGAGGAGAACTGGACAGAATGGTGCGTGAAAATGGCCGCGGGCCGTCAGTTGTCGAGGGAGTGAAGGTGAAGAAAGGGGCGACAGGGTGACGGGATTCCGGATTCACCAACGGTGCGCCGGATCCCATACCATCGGAATCCTGAATCGCCAGCCCGTATGTACGTAGCATTTAGGCCCCAAAGAATCCATGGATGCAGCTCCAGAATGGAACGATGAAAGGTGCATTTTCCTATCCCTCGGAGTATTAGCCGTTGCGATGCCATCGGGATTATCGAGGACTTGGAGACAAACCCGAAGGAATGAGTGGAGCAGTGGAACACCTGAGGACGAGCTGCGCCGGCTCTAAGCCTAAATCAAACCCGTAATGGAATTGGCAGAGCCCGGCAGACACGGCTGCAAGGGTAAATCAATGCCATGGCGATCTCATGCCACGGCCTGCCGCACTAATAGAGGGAGACTTTTCGGGTGGCCTGGTCGTGGAAGGTTATCATAGGCAAGGTGCGGCAGCGGGACTCGCTCCTCTGCTCTGCGTGCCATCCCGTTCTCATCTATCATAACCGGACACCTGTGACCTGCCCCGTGGCCAGCCCGTGTACGCCGAGAAGGAATATTAACCAATCTCCAGACGCCGGGATAAGCTGGCAGGAAGCCTTCCACGGAAAGGATCGAATAGTAATTCGTATATTGCTACCTACGCAGGCACCTTAGCTACGAGCATGCCAGGGCCTCCCTTCGGGAGGCGTGGATGCAAGGCTTTATCCTAATCTTACTATTAAAATTTTTAACCGTTTCTTTTCGTAATTATTATTAAAAATACCATATTTAATATGTACGAATTTTTCTCTAATTAATAATAAGATTACCTTTTTCGTAAAATAAGGTTATATATAGCGGTACTATATAACTTAGCCCTGTTTTTAACGAATTAAAACAATTAATTATTTTAACTATTCCCTTTAATTAAATGAAAAAAAAATATTATATTCGGTATGTTTAAATTTTTCTATAATTAATTAGAATTTTACCTTTTCGTAATAATAGGGTTATATTTCGCTTAGCTTAGTAATCCTTAGTAAGTAATATTTTTTTTTTCCATAAGGTCTTATACCTTTACCTATACTAAACCTTTTCTCCTTTTTCCTTTTTTCTCCTAGGCTTACTAATAACTATAAATTTAGCTCCTTTCCTTATCCTTTTCTTATATAATAAGGTATATTTATATTATCTCGGATATATAATTTCGGATTCGTACGAAATTAAATTCTAAGATTAGAAAGGATATATCCTATATATTAATCTTATATATATATACGGGAAAATATAGCGCTAATACGAAATAGTTTTTTAATTTACGAAATTAATATAGTTTTTTAAAGCTTATACCTCCCGCTCCTTCTCGTACGGTTTCGTACGTAGCCGCCTTTACCCGTACGCGCTAACGTTCTTATATAGATTTAAATAATCCTTTATAGTTTTATATACTTCCGTTTAGTTTCGTATAAAGTAAGGTTTTCTTATACGATAAATAACGAAATAGAAAGCGATAGTATAATAAGCGACGATATCGCTATCGACCGTACGGTTTCGGGCGAGGCCGAGTAGCCGTCGGAGGATCCCGCTTTAAACGGCTAGGTTTTCGTTAAAGCCGCTTTCCTAACGTAAAATAATTCGGTATAGCGCCTCCTAACGCGCGTTTCCGTACGTATCCGTACTACGAATAACGAACGTATGTTAATTTATATGTTTAAAAGCTTTTCCCCGAACGTAATTTCGAGCTTCGTACGAAGTAAATTAAAGGCCGGTAGTTCTTATACGAACTAGACCTATCCCGTCCATAGAATGTCGAAGCCGCTATCGGATATATGTTTAATACGTTTTCGGCCGCTTCCTACCGGGATTATACGAAGTTTAACGAAGGTTTCTTAAAATGCGTAATAATAAACGGTATTAGTAAGGGTACGTATATTAGCTATTACTACGGTAGTAACGCGTCCGGGTATTCCTTCCGGAAAAAGGAGGAGGAAAAGATAAGCGGTAGTAGTAAGTTTAATATAATATATACCATACGGATCCGTATTAATAGTTACGAAATAAGTAATACTAGTCCGGGCCGCGTTAATAAACGAGCGAAATAAAACGACGACGAAGATATAGTTACTAAGGATAACTATAAAAATATATATCGTATAATTTCGTTTCGTTAGTAATAAGTTATTAATATATATCGTACGGATCCGTATATTACTATATAAAGATTAATATCTCCGTATAACGATATATGCTATAAAAGAAGCTAAGCATAAATTATATAAGTAAAAGTAATAATTCATACGAAGGTAGTAGATTTAATATAATTCCGTATATTTAGGATAAATTATATACGTATCCGTATAGTTATAGCTTAAAATACTCTTAAGTATATATAGATATGATACGTAGATTGGGAGAGCTACGTAGGTACTGAGGTTGCTTCTTAGGAGTAACGGAAGGTAGGAAGAAGAAGGTAAATTAACTAACCATCTAAGAAGGAAGGAGATTAATAAAGGAGATACGAGCTACCTATATATAAACGATAGGAAGCTACGAGTTATGTTATATAAGCGAACTAGGAGCTATATTAGGTAAGCGAGTAACTCGAAAAGGAGTAAGGAGCTATATATAAGTAGCTCTTTATATAATATACCCCCTAGCTAGGCTCGCGATAGCGAGCTTAGCTAAATAATAATAATAACTTAGCCGAAGGGCTCGCGATAATTAGCTTAGCTATCCTCTTAATTAAAGTCCTAGGTTAGCTTAAGCCTTACTCGCTTTATTAGCTTTCCGGGGTAATATATTCGTCGCTTTAGTTATTTACGCCTTTATTTAATACTTTTAATAGCTTAAAGTATCCTCTTAATTAGTTATTATATTAGTTCTTTTTAATATCTTAATAAAAGAGATATATCGTAGCTCTTAATTAAGTATATTTACCGTATTCGTTATACGTTCGCGAAGGCTTCCATTACTTCGCTTTATATTATTATTATCGTACGTAAATCCTCTCGTAGCTTTATTAAGTTAATACCCGGTAACGCTTCTTCCTATACTTAAGCTCTTATATTATAAGAGAAAAATCTCTTATTCTTTCGTAGTAGCTCTTTTCCTTTCCTCTTTTCTTCTATAGAAGTATATTTAGAGCTAATCCGATACGCTTCTTTTCTATTCTCTATCGCTCTCGGTTACGTATATAACCTATATATTACTTTATTCGCGCGTATTTTATTTAAGTAAGTTATTTCTTAATTACGGTACTCCCTTATTATCGCTTACTATCGTAGCGAGCTTATAATAATATATTAACGTAAGCTATATGTTAATATAATAAGCGCGAGAAGTAAGATAAGCTTACGCTTTAGTAATATTAATACGGGTATAAGTAATTAAAAGCTAATAATTCGATAGAATATCCGACCGTTTTAATTCTTACGAAATCCTTATTAATATCGATAACGCGGTTAAGATATTAAGCGATGGAATAAATTAATTCCGTAACTACGCTTAAATATTCGTCGAGGAGCGAGCTTAGGATCCCGCTATATTTAATTAAGGTCCGGTTAAATATATAAAGCTAGTTACTTAATCTACCGTAATAAAGGGAGCTACCGTTATCCTAGATACTTCCGCGGCCGCTAAAACTACTTTAGTTATTACTTCTAGCGCCGCCGAAAAGCGACGTAATATATTCTTCGACGTCGTTATCGATCGCTTAAACGGCTTTACCCGCGATATCGCGGTTAATATATATATCTCGGTAGTTATTATAGATAGCTTTTCTTTTAATACCGGTATTAATAATCTCTTTATATACCGCGATAAGGAAAAGTAATTTATCTACCGATATATAAGTTAGCTCTTATATTATAATTATTATAAGTTATAAGCCTTTAATTAATTATTTACTTTAGATTTCCGACCGAGGTTTAATTATAGTATAGAATATTATAGAATTACGCTTTCTCGAGCGTCGTATAATCCGCCGTATTCCTTCGTTCCTTAGAGCCCTTTCCGTTATACTAAAGCCTAAGGCCGTATCTCGTAAGCGGGCTCGTAAGGAGAGTAGCTTTAGAGGTAAGGCCCGTAAATAACGAATCCGTTATATTAAACGGGAATAAGTATATAAAGATCTAAAGCGAAAAGAGGTCCGTCGCGTTATTCGTAAGTACGGGACTATAAAGCTAGATAATAATAATAATATTTCCGAGTTTATATCTCGGGACGTAGAAATTACGGATAGCTTTATAAAAAGCGACTCCGGGAGCGATTTAAAGGTAGTTATTTAAGCTATCCCGGGATTCCGTTAGGCGCTTATTATTATAACCGAATAAGAACTAATAATCGCTTTTATTTCGAAAGCTTAAGCCGCCGCCGTATTAATAACTCTTAAGGAGATTATCGGCGAATACCGAGTATTTATTAAGCCGTCGTTATATATATTAGGTATTTTTACGGAAGCTCGGGACGGGAAGGATAATTCCCTTATTATTATTACCGCCGTCGCGCCGACGCTTATTCGCTTAACGAAAGCCGGCGGCCTCTTTTTTTTTTAAATTACGGATAGCCTAATAATCGTTCGTTTATCGTTAACGATATTATACCGAGTCTAGGGGAGCGCTATCGCGCTAGCGCTACCGCCGTTTTTATTTTTATTTTTAACTCGGTTTCTTTTTTTATATTCGCGCTTAAAAAGTAAGCTTTTAATAAAGGTAACTCTTTTAAATTCGAAACGGCTCCTATCGTTACTCCTATTATTACCCGTTAATTAACCGAGCTAAGCTTTATTCTTATTACTTACGTTCCTCGAAAGCTTTTAATACGATTTAATTCCT